TGTTAAGTAGTCTCTCTGGGGTTCAAGGATGAAAATCTTAGGTTTAAGCCTTATATATCCTCTCGGGTTGACCACTATTGTCCACGTACAGATCAGGTCGTTGTCATAGGATCCAGGATGGTTAGGAGATAAAATCTCCCTTGAAGATTGCCCTGATCTGTAGCCACCACATTCATCTAGATATCGTAAAAAAAATAGGTTAGAAAGCTTTACTCTGCCGTGTCTGGCTCAATATATGGAAAGTACACACGCACAGACACTCACACGCGCACAGGCACACGCACAGACACACACGCACACACAGACACACACACAGACACACGTACACACACATATGCAGACACAAACACGTAGACACACACACGCACATAGTACCAGGACACATATTTGCGTATTTGGTTTTGTTATCTTTTGCCCTGGACATGTTACTGTATTGGTTTATTTTGTGGCATTAAATGTAAGGACGTACCCCCCCCCCCCCAGGAGCTTGGAAGGCAACCATACAGACATTGCATGAAACAAAATACTTTTCTGACGGAATTTAAAGAAAAAAACGCCTTACTGTGAACACTGGGGGTTTGACTTGTGTAGGTGACCGTAAACCCCTTTCTTGTTAATTCCCCGTCAGATGTAAATCTGAGGAACATCGTGTTAGATGTGCTGCTAACAGGTATAACAGAACTTAGACCTGTTATCCTGGAAGTCGAAGAACACAAATATATAAATTTATAGTTTTATTAAGAAAATCAGCTTCGCAGCATGAGGTACGTGTACAACAAGCTGAACTGCACTGATTTAAACACTGATGTATGTTGAAGATCATCAAGTTACGTGACAAATGGAAACTAAAGCAACGCTATACAAAATGGGTAACCACATGGGGGCAACGTAACAAGAACGTCCTCAAACAGTATTACTGGACTAGTTGTATACTTGTTGAACATTGGCCTGAAAGAGTTTCTCCCTGTGGCCTTTGTCCTAGCCGATGGAACTAGGTCATGGAGGGGGTGACCCTCGTCCAGCATGTTCCTTGGTAGCTTCACCGGCGCCAGTTAACTCTCGCGGTTCCTTCAGCATCGGCAGAGCATGCACCTCCGTCTTCCTCGCAGTGAGACAATCCTCCCATTGGCACTCCCAGCCCCGAGGACAGACAGCACTTAAGCTCCTGTTCTGTATAACAGGAGCTTTCTAACTAATTTGCATTTTCTTGTCTTGACTTGTCTGATTTTTGTTCCATTTTCGACTTCCAAAAATGTGTCTTCACTTTATTTGCATATCAATCAATAGTTTGTGCTTATAAACCTGCATTTCCCCTCTGGTCTCTCAGTCACTGACGAAAGCTAGTGGATACTAGCCATGAAACGTCTGACGTTTTCAAAATCATACAGTTGCCTGAGTAACTGCCTTTTGGCGTATCGTATTACCTGGATGTATAACCTTCATAGACGTAATCCTCCCATTGCATTCTTTCAATTAGTTTTTTTCTGTTCTTTTTTTTTACACCCTACAAATAACACGTGCCAGTATTCGAGCGAAAATGATGAAGACAAGCTGAGGCCAGAACAGGCAGGGTTCCAAAAGGGACGCTCTTGTACGGATCGCATTCTTGTACTAAGACAAATTTTAGAGAACTGACACAAGAATGAAATAGTCCTCTGTATGTATTGTTCGTAGATTTTGAAAAGGCGTTCGATAGCCTTCATCGGGACTCCTTGTATTAGATACTCAGGCATTACGGTATATCACAGTTTGTTGGTTTATCATTATCATTATCAGAACAATGTACTGTATGAAAACTTCGAATGTCGAGTAAAAACAGCTAAGAGAGACACTGGTCGGAAGTCTTCCACTTGTAATGCTCGAGCAGCCTTCGGTACTGGAACTACATTTACTGACTTTCAAATTGTAGTTTCTTTCCTTGTCCAATCTATGCTTGACATTGCATACTAATGCAAAACTTTAGGTTGCCGCATTTCCAAATACCT